TTGAACCGCCAGCCTTCTGGTTAGCAGTCAAGTGCCTTAGGCACTACGCCACCAAAGCTCCTTTCTTATTATTAGCTGATTCAATGTGCATTTCACTGAGTTTTATTTGTGTTTTCATATGTATTTTCTCATGTACTTCTTGTTAATGTTCATTTTCTACCCCCTCTGGTGCCCAAGTGGCTCAAAATAAGAATAGCTAAGGAAAACCAAGTATGATGAGTAGGTGGCGTTTTCTAACAAAGTGCTTTCCTGGGTGGTATAATGTACAGTGTGAACAATGAATAGCAACCCAAATAGAAAAAAAAAAAAAAAATCAGGTTATTTCTGGTCTGTTAATTGCTAAGCCCAACATACCCATACATTCATTAGCCACTGCACAGATAAATATTGGCTTCTGAAGAAAGGGTATATATATTGCTTTCTTGAGAACATTCAACAAACAGAACGAAGCCGTAGCCAATGAACGGGACACTTGTGTAGAACTCATGCTAATGCACTTAGAGGCGTCATCAGACATTTGGGAATAAATACTTAAATAGCTGCGATAAGATGGAGCTTGTGAGTCACAGCTGAGAAGCAGTCTTTCAGAGATTTTCATAGAAAAGCAATAAGCATTTTTCCCCTTGAAAACAGCACATGTATAGAATGTGTCATGTAGCAAGTTCAAGTGTACATTGCTCTTAGACAAAAATAGAAATCGCTTTTGGGACACTGATACACAGTGACACTGACACTGTCTTAGATTCTATCTGGCATCAGGGGGGTTGAACAGAGATTATTAAACTGAAATCCCACCAGGCCACATTCTAGTCTACTCCCATTTCAACCACCTATGAAGCTGTTCTTCATGTTGCCTGTGGTACACTGTGTGCTGTCCTTCCTATGGGAACAAGCACTTCGGACCCAGTAGCAATGACACGTGTTTTCAGTTTCTCTAGCTGTGGTGAGGGAGCAGGCAGTCAATTGGTGGTCATTAAAAGCACAAAATGTTCGACTGAACCCTCGACCAAATCTTCGGACTCCATTTTCCAGCTATTTTAAGTGCCCAATCCAGTCTAATCACTCCCCCCCAACTCTTCCATTTCCCATCCTTGCCCTGAGAACAGGCTGACAGGTGTGTGTGGCTCATGTGGCAGTGGCTGGGAAAGGGGAATCCATAGCCCGGTGAATATGGCAAAAGATCTTACCACCCTCCTCGCCCCCACCCCATTCTGCACCTTGAAAAGCCAGGGGCTGAAGGAACGGAACCCGTGTAATTTTGCAGACTGAGAGTGTTCAGTAATAAAAGCATACATTTTTGTCCTTGAAATTTCCTCCTGGTGTGAGGGACACTAAAAAGAAGATTTTGATTCAATTGCTTGGGCCTGTATTCTTTCTGTACAAAACCCACCGCAGGGCAACACTGATTGTCCTTCTGTGAGGCTTTGAGGGACTATGACCCTAATGTAATACAAAATGGTATTTCCTGATCTTAAAAATCATCTGAAAGGTGTCAATCATTTCTCTAATTTTAACCATCATTAGGACTTCCAGATTTATAGAGGCAAGAATGACATAAAGACTTAGCACAATTTAAAACCCAAGGTAGAATATGCTATAAAAATGTCACCTTTCTAATATTTCCCTATTCCACCTCTTGAATTAGTAAACAAAACGGGGCGTTCCTCCACCAGTTAACGTGCATTCAAGGTTCATTAGAACAACTGGTACTGAAGAGTTTGCCTACACTCAGAGAACGTTTATGCCAGCTGATAACCACAATCTCAGGCTTGTGATACCGTGTTCTTCGTAAAATGGCTCCTGAGGGTGGGGGAGGGGGGACTCAGACAGCTTTTGAACACCTGGGAACGAGGAAGATGACACACGCCTATTAATCCATTAAAGTAAGGCATTCCATTGCAGCGCATTTGCTCCAAAATGCCACAAGAGAAATTTCTACAAGTATTTCAAATGTTGAAAGACAGACCAGGCAACTATAAATTTTCTGGAATAAATTTTCCAAAAACCTGTCACTGATACTCACTTTGTCCCTTTCACTGAAAGCTGCGAATCAAGACAAAGAAGTGCTTGGTTTCTACCCAGCTGTGTTACTTGACCAGCTCAAAGAAAGGAACCGTCACTAGGCAGCGGGTAACAGAGCAACAGTGCTTCAGGGGAGGACAGGCAGCAGGCTGACTTCAGAGAACGGAGCGTTCTGGGAAACCTCCCTGACCTGCAGCCCCTATTCCACAGGCTTCTTGTCAGTGGCCACAGAGCTCCCTTAACTTCAGGTCACAAAACAAGAGGAAGACTCTCATGGTAAAGATGGTCTCTAGCATCTGAATCTTTGCCTTTTTTTCTGATAATAACAATTAAGGGCATACTTGGCTATCAAAAGAATGGTAGCTGTTTCTTCAAGAACATAAAAAGCATTGTTCAGAAAAGGCAAAGGGGAGGTAAGTCGTTATGGACTTTCTTAGTCACAAACATTTCCCTTCCACCTCGGTATTCGATTGATTTCTCTCTAAACACGTTAAATTAGATTTAAAGCTATGTTAAGATGAAGGATTATATTTTATAAATAGCCAAAATTTCCTAACTAAAGCAACCCTCTTTCCTCACACTATTTCTTAGAGTTTCCTAAGATGTCCTGGGAAATGTAACAATATATTAATATTTTATGTATTCCTTTTTTTAAAAAAAGAAAACAGTGAAACGTTCAAACTGCCACATTTACTTGACCTGGTAGTAGAAGGCAAAAACAAAATAGACAAATGATGACGGACTGACTATTGAGGTGCAACTAAATTCATTAATCAAAAATGATCTTTCAGTCAAAGTATGACTAATGAAACTGTACTCAATTTAAGATCAAGAATAGTTTTTACCTGAGTGTTTGTGAGAAGCCATTGCTCAGAAGCCAAGTTCAGGAGCAGCACCTAGACCAGTCTTCCGTCAACCCCAGCTGATAAGGCTGTGGCCCATTTATGAACATACATTTAAGGGGAAGCGGCTAACACAAAAATAACCAAGAGCAGATGTCCCACCCCTCCACAGAGATCACAACCTTAATCCCACTAGAAAATTCTTAACCATTTTAGGTGATCCAAGAGAGAAGAATAGGATCCAGTAAAAATACCAAACACTACATATAAATACCTGCGGGGCTACTCAGCATCCAAATTAGCCCCAGAGCCGAGAGGCCACACAGAAAGTCATCCCTGTACTGGAATAAAATTTGGACTCGGCTCTGGCATAGCTTAATGCTGAGCCAACCTTATTAATCCACTTTGTATGCCTAAAGAGCTTACTTTTGGCCCTCTAAATAATTCATTTTTTGTGCTGTTCATGATAAGAGTAACCATAAGAGATAGACTTAGGTTATCAGTATAATTCAAGGGGATTGGACACTATGAATACAGAGATTAAGGGCATTACAGATGCTTAACTCTGTGTCCTTGGTATACATCAGAGATCAGCAGAATACTGAAAAAGGGAGCAATTCCATCCACAAACAACTGCATCCCCTTAGTGACAGAGTGGAACAGGATAGACATGCGTGCATATACCTACATACGCTCAATAAACATATCTTGTCCCACAGACAAACTCAATCTCCTGCTTTTAGGATGCCAGGACAATGAAAGTAAACATACACATGCAGATGACATCACCCTAACATGTAACAGCTCAACAGACCATCGTGTAGCTGGAGGCTGGTTACCAGGAACCAGTTTCAGGAAAAGCCAAACTCCTTAGAATACCCCGTAAGTCCCTCCATGACCCCCTCCTCCACCAGCTGACAACTCTTCTGGCCTCATCTCTTGTCCCCATTGCCCTGTCTCCCTCTGCTCTGGCATCACTGGTCTCTTTGGAACCCCTGCACCCTCCAGATGTGGCCTCACTTCAAGGCCCCAACACTGATTCCCTTGGCACAGATCCTCCCACGGTTGCTCTACTTCCTTCAAGTCTTTGTGCCAAGTCACCTTTTCAGTGGACTCCTTTGGATCACCCTATTTAAAATCGCAACCGTGCTCCCCCCTGACACATTCTCCCTATCCCTCTTCCCCAATGTGTTGTTGTCCACAGTACTTAGGATCTTCTAACCCAGTATGTAAGGAGTCCTGGTGGTGCTGAGGTTAAGTGCTTGAGTGCTAACTGAAAGGTTGACGGTTCAAACCAAACCAGTGGCTCCATGAGAGAGACCTGATGATCTGCTCCCATCAAGATCCCAGGCAAGACAGCCCTCTGGGGCAGCTCTACTCTGTCACTTGGGGTCTCGCTGAGTCACAAGTCGACCCATCAGCACCTAACAACAACCACAGCCACCTAGTATGTGTTGTACCTAATTTATCTTGCTTGTGGTCCGAGTCTCCCCTCTACTCCAGGAGGGCAGGGATTTGGCGCTGGTGTTCACCGCTGTGGCCCCAGCACCTAGAGCACTGCCTGGCTCCCTGGAGGCTCTCAGTAACTATTTGTTGAAAAGTAAGAAAAGCTGTTAATCAAGCCTCATTTAGAACCAAACCACGGTCCCACCCATCATCCTAAAAGTACCTTTGGTCAATGAACTTCATGGAAGGCAACTGACCTTCACTCTGGGACAGGCCCAGGCTCAACACCTTTACAGACAGTCTTGTTTAACAGTGCCTATCACTGGTCTGGGCCCTGTTCCCACATCTCCCCTCTCAGACAGAGGGCTGAAGCGGTGTTCACGTATCTTCCTCACCCTGTGACACATAGTACAGAAGCACACTTCCCAAATAAATGAATGGATGGGTTGCACAATTCTTATGCTCTTCAAATATTTAATGAAAAGTTCCTCTAAGAGAGAGCTGAAATTGTCGGTAACTCCTGGCCAGCAAGAAAATGACAGAACAATAAAAACCAGGGTGTTACTGGCAAATTCATTACATGTTAAGGTCAAAAAAGGAGCCTGGGAAAAAGGAAGTAACACTGGGCTTCTCTCTCCCCTGTCCCAGGCTGATGAAACTATGGCAGGGCAACTGGCCAGCTCTGACAATACCACAACCCCAAGAAGCTCTCACCTAGGGGAACTGCTCTAATTTTACTAGATGATTAACCTTTATGGTCCCTAAATTTTAGCCTTCAGTGAGGTGTATTTTTAGGTAGAAATCATGTATTTTCAAACGCTTACTGAGCCAAGTCCTTTCCTTTAGGAAGTCAATTCTCGTTTGAGAATTGTCAATTCTCAGGAAGTACAGGTACTCCTCCAGGTGCCTGATCATCTTGAAAAGTGACAAGAGAATACAACAAATACAGCATCATGAAGTAAGCAAATCAACCGAACTCTATTTTGCCTGAAATACTGCCAGAAAAGCTTACTCTCTGGTCACTATTTAAGTAGTCATCGAGGGCACAGCAATGTGGCCCTCTGAAAACAGCATTGATTCCACCTGCAATTAACATAAACCAGGTAACTCTGCCTTCCTACAAACTTCGTGAAACATGACCACCGCCTGCTCCAACATTTGGCTCCACTGCCTACGTCTTCAAGTCACAAAACCAAATAAGAAAAAGCCCTTTGAAACTTGTAGGGAAAAAAAAAAATCTCTCAGTAAGAACTGTTGATACCTTTGTCCTGTCTTGGATCAGTGGTTCGGAAATCTCAGCAGTTATTTTAACAGATAGTAAAAATCCAAACCACCACTGGTTTCATCAGCACCTGAGCCAACTTTGTTACACATTAACAGTATGACATTCAATAATATCCTTAATCACTGTACTGTTTGCAAAGCCCTTTTATATACTGTTGGTGGAGCTGGCTGGTGTTTGAGGAACAACCCTCTTTAGTGTTTGAAGGACATGTTTGAGGCCTTTTAGTCTCCCGTGCTCCAGCTTGCATCAGAACTTTTATTATTTGCTAGGCATCAAAAGACCGGGTAGGAGATGATATTTCTACACATTTCTGTATGGGCTGTAAGAATGGTCATATATATAATAGAGCTAACAAAGTTATGACAGCTTCTCAGCCACAGCCAACCACTCTGAGGGAGCGAGGAGTTGGACCTGTGGGCTTGGAACTATGGTCACAGGGGACTTCAAGCTCAAATGGCATAACATCCTATAGAAAAACATTGTTCTACATCCTACTTGGGTCAGTAGTGACTGGGGTCTTAAAA